GGGTGATGCTGGCCTGGCCTGGGGAAAGCTTCCCAATGCGAGTGTGAAGCTGGAAAACCCTTCACGTCCATATCCCAGAGCTGTCCCAACAGAGCATCCTGACAGCACAGAACTGCTGCTGTCGCAGGCATCCGTCGTGTCTGTAACCAGCGGCAAGATGGAGAAATGTGAGAAACGTAGGAAATGGGGATCCAGCTCCCTCTGACCTCATGGCACCGCTCACACTGGCCTGAATGGAGAGCCAGAGCATGCTCTGGGAGGGCCAGGCTCCCTTACATCTATCTTTTCCACCTGGGTTAGAAGCTCAAGGCAGAGGAGTGTAGCTCTAGCATGAGGACATGGCCAGAACACTGAGCTTTGCTGCTTGCAAGAGCCTCCAGAATTCTCACCCTTCCTGCTCTCCCATCAGGCACATGCTGACCGGGGTAATTCTGTTCAGATTAAAGAGGGCCGTGACATGCAGCCCCTGGCTGCTGCACCCTGGTGTAACTGCAGCCAGGGCAGCCCAGCTGCACGCTGGGGGGAAGGACTGAGCAGCACAAGGTGCCATCAGCATTCCTACCAGCCAGTGTGTCCCTGCCACCACTGGAGCACACCTGCACCAGCAGCTTCTACGCAGGCAGGTTGGTGTGCCAAGGGCTTATGCCCATATCAAGGTAAACTGGGAGAAAGGAAAACTGCTGCAGCTACTGGGACCTGGCAGTCACTTGGTGCTGAGAGAGGGTGGTGGTTGTGACCACGTGTGCACATGGGAGAGGAGACAAAGCATCCCACACACAAAAAGTAAATCACAGGTTAGGCAGTAAAACGGTGCAGCAGGAACCATCCCCTAATGCTGTTAGGAAGCACCAGATCTGGGTGATTTTTTTCATGTTGCAAGGACCTTAAAGCTCCTCCAGTTCCAAACCCCCTGCCACGGGCAGGGACACCTTCCACTAGAGCAGCTTGCTCCAAGCCCCCAGGGCTCCAACCTGGCCTTGAGCACTGCCAGGGATGGGGCAGCCACAGCTCCTCCCTCCTTCATCTTGTATCTCCCTCCTTCTCCTCAATCAATGGGAGAAATTAAGTTTATATGTATAAATATTAATGAAACATAAATTCCAAGCCCACCTCATGTGAATCTGCCCTCATCCAAGCAAGTGCTCCAAGTGACAGCACCATGGTGCTGCTGGCACTGCCAGACACCAGCAGGTGCCACTGAGCTACAGCCAAAGCTTATCCTAAATTTTCCAGTTTGGAGAAGTTATTTTATGATATTCAGAACACCAGTTAATTAATACTTATCAGTAAATGAAAACCTTGATGCCACCAGCTGAAAGCTCGCTGGATTCTCAAGAGCTGGGGCTGGATTGTTGCTTGCTCCATTTTTCCAGCTTTCAGTTTCCTGTCGCATGGATGTGATTTCCTAACGTGCCATCAGGTCACACCGGCTCTGGCTGAGCCCATCCAAAATTTCTTTAATTCCCCTGACATTTCCGAGGCCAAAATTTCCATTCCTGAGTCGCCATTGCCCTTTAGAAAACATAAGAATTTATTCAACATCATGTTCAGGAAACTGTAGACACCTGCGCAGCTTGTAATTATGTTGAATGGGAATTAGGTCCCCACCTGAGTATTTCTGCGCCTAAATCCCTCTCTGGAGCTGCCTTTGGCTTTTACGTGGGAAATCACTCTTGTGACTGTGCCCCCACACGCAGCCACTTGTTGGTGCCAGTTTGTGCTCCGTTGTCTTCCTGCACACCAAGTTCATCAGACCCAAAGCATGGCTGGCATCACCAGTCAGGCTGTGTGCAGGTCCGTGTTCCGGGGCTGCCAAGTGCTTTCCTTAATGGTTTATAATGAAATACAGTGAAGCCAGGTTAGTGCAGTGGAATGTCATGTTCCGGTCCCTAACTTGGCCCAACCTGCCACCAGCTCATGAGGGTGGCTGGGGGACGTTTGGACTCTCAAACATACCATAGTGAAGCTTTAACACCAACCCTACTGCCCCAAAATACCAAATGCATTCTTGCTGGCATTATTTCTATTCGGATGGGCTGAACTGTTTAGCTAGCAGTAGTATTGTGAGCAATCAACATTACTTAATGGACTACTTAGGAGCTTTCCAATGAGCCTTCAAAATACACCCTGCACCTCTTGTCTTCCCTGGCAGGTCTCCTGTAACATCCCAGCCACGATCACCTGCAGCCCCGTTTGCAGGTCAGGTACCAGGTTACGTGTGTGCTTTGCACATGATGATGATATGATGATATTTTATGTTATTTTATTTGCTAAATGTGATTATATGGCAAGCGTGGAGGCAGTGACACTCCCCCTGAGGTGAATTCCATGTGTGGGTTCACTTCTGTGCGTGTGAATGGATTCAGACCCAGGCAAGCACGGCCACAAGAGGCAGATGCTTCCCCTGCTTTGTGCTTTTTAGATTTTTCCATGCAATAAACACTTATTTAACTAATGATCCTCAGGGAAGGGCTAGCTTACAGAAGGAAGCCTGCAAGGTTATTCCCATATGCTCATTTTACAACAGGTTTTAAGGAGTTCAGTGGTCGGTGCCACCGCTCCGGTTCCTCCCCATAACACACAGTGGGGCCCAGCACAGACTGGCAGGAAAGCCTTTACTTTTCTGCTGCCTTGTTGGAAGGCAGCTTCTGAGGAGAAAGAAGAAAGGAAGAAAAGAGGAAAAGGAAAAAAAAAAAGCTGCTTATTTTGAGACAAAGGGGAAGCTCAGACCATGGGAAGCCCACAGGACTCTCCAGTCTTAACAATTTACCCGTTTTCCCATTCCCAGCTTGCAGTTTTTACCCGGGCATTGATGAACTGTCATGTTTAGAAGCCAGTTGTTCATAATAGTGATCATTTAACATCTTCAGATTGGTCTCGGGGTTTTCCAAGGTATTTTTTAGCACGTCCATGTCTGTATCGGTGTTTCACGGCACTACGCCAGCTCCCGAGGCGAGGACAGGCTCTGCCAGCCAGCGACACGGCGCCCGGCAGCATCCTGGTGCAGGTACCTGGTGGAGGAGGAACAAAGCTGAGGTGCAGGGGGCAGCTGAGAGTAAAGCTGAGGGCCATGTTCCCCATGCTGGGCACACGGTGCACCCAGGACAGCAATCAGCCATTCCAGGGCTGCACTAGGGATGCTCAGCCTGGAAGTTGGCTCGGGTTTTCCTGGGGTGGTCTTTATCTGAGCAGAAATGAGAAGCCCTGGACACCTGAAAAGTGCAGTCACTGATGTTACAGACCACCACTAACCCACAGCAGCAAAACCTCCAACTGAAATTAGTATGAAATGTTCAGGAGATTGGTTTGCTGTTGCTAGTCAGCACTTGGAATGTAAAGCCTTTCCCTGGTTAAAGCTCTCTGGCTTGTAATATAGCACTTAGTTACCTTGAGCAACTCAAAAGCGCTGATTTATAGCTATGGGTGTATATATGTATATATCTGATGGAGATATATGCAACAGTAAATGCAAAGTCAGTGTTAAATGGAACCCCAGGCATTTTGGCCTGCTCAGGAGCAGGCTCTGCTCTCCAGAGGAGTGGGGTCAGTGCCTGAACAAGGGGCTGTTGGGGATATTTATCGGGTGGACTGACCTCTAATGGAGCGGGGTTGGAGCTGGGCTCTTGCAGGCTGGGCTGATGTGGGGTGCTGTGTTCCACCACAGTGCTCCCCATCCCACCACCGGTGAGCCCTGTAAAAGCAGAACCAGGATTTGACATGAGTACCCATCTCCCCAGAGCCCTGGAGGCGCAGGCTGGGGGCTGCGGGGGCTGAGGCTGCTGGATTCCACACTAGGATTGCCAAAAATGAAGCGTTCCCTGCAGCTGAGCTCCCTTCCACCTCCACATCCCACCCCAGTGCTCTTCTCCCATCAGAACCTGAACTTTAAGCGAGCGCACAAAGACAATATGATTCCATTTCCAGGCAGTCGGATTTGAGGCTTTATTCCCAGTGTGAATACAACACGATGATACAACTTTCAGGCCAGTAGTTTGGATAGGATACGGATTAACTGACGGTTTGGTTTGGTTTTGGTTTGAACACGTTTGGTGATGGTGGGCACAAGCCATGCGGCTCCCAGAGGCCAGGCTGGGGCACAGGTGGGTGGCAGCAGCAGGAAAAGCAAATGTCAGGAGCAGTTTCTATTAAAACCATTAAAAAAGGGTTTAAAAAGCAACCTTTTTTGCCAATCCTCTCCCCGGGCAGTTCCAGCGAGTGGGCTGGAAGCAAGTGCCACCATTGCATTGCGTTCAGCATTCCCACTGCCCAGCCCCAGCCCCGTGGCACACAAGGGGTCCCCAGTGTCCCCCCGGGGCCCCGCAGCCGCTGGGCTGGTGCAGGCAGCTTCGCCCCCCCCGCAGAGCAGACGCTCCCATCGGTTCAGTTTTCTACTTGTGAGTACTGTAGCCAACAGCTTACTTTGTTAAAGATTTTACCATTTTATAAAAGACATGTTTAATTATGATGGAGATGGCTGTATTGTAATTAATATTTTGAGATAATTGTGATTTTGAGCTTAAATTATATACAGAAAATGGTCATTTTTGTATGTGTTCAAAGATTGCTATATTACAAATGACTAACTGTACTTTTCAGTTTAATTACAGTATTAATGTAAATACGGCTGAATGAAGAAATATTTACTACTTTACTAACATAGATTGTGAATGTACTTAATGTTTTTTGCAGTATAAAGACTTACTGAACTTGAAAAGCTGCTTCATTTTATGTGCAAAAAGGTACTTCAGAACTCTATTTTAACTCTCTTGATCAGTGCAATCACTTCTCTGGTGGGTTAATTTGCACACGCCGGTTGTATCCACCCCGTCCCCCCCTCCATGTATGACACCCCCCGTAAGGTGCATATTGTGTTTCGATTGCATTTTGCAGATGCTGCTGTACATAGAACAACTACAGGGACTAAACCAATGCTGTGCAGTGTATAGCAGAGCCATTTTTCGGCTTTGGTGTACCCAACTTTTTCAGTATTTAAAGAAGTGTTTTGAATAACATTAAAAAGTCTCTTTATTGTATAAATAATAAAAATGTCACCTTATTGTAATTAAGTTTGTCATCTTTTACTGCTGGAAGGGAGCTGGGCTCTCAGAGAAGGCTGCTGGGTGCGAGCTGTCTGGTGGTGACCCATCCCATGGCAGCCCCGTGCCTTTTCCCTCAGCCTCATCCACCAGCAAACCAAGTGGAGGCTGAGGGAGAGACTCTCTGCAATTACCAGAGCCTTGGAAATGGAGCAGCTCCCCTCAGTCAGTCATAGCTGCCGGTGAGACATCAGATATGAAGAGGGGGCGGCTGCACGTGTGTGTGGAACAGCTCAGCATTCACTGCTCTGTAGATACAAATGCTGTAGGAGAGATGGGAGAACAAGAGAGGAGTGAAGGTGGGAGAGCAGCAGCAGTTCCATCCCCCAGGTCACCAGAGAGTATCATCTCCTGACATGTCTGAGCTCAAACCCACCATCATTCCTTCTGCACTCAACAAACACTAGTGGGTATTTCTCACAGGAAACTCCTTCCTGTTTACTCTCTGCAGCTGTTCCCAGCCCCTTGCCTTCTGGAGTAGGTCAATACCTGCTGCAGGTCTCTGGCTCCAGCCATGCTGGCCTGATCTGGTCCATCTCCACCAGCCGCCGTCGGTGTAGCCGTGCACAAGGTACATCAGACCCCCTCTCTCACTGAGAGGTGCTGTTAAACCTGAGGATCAGGTCACTGTATTTTATGTTACCTCTCAACACATCCAAAACCTGTAAAGTTTAATGCTGAATCACATTAATTCTGCCATTATAGAGAGGTTGGGTGGAGAAAGGAAAATGCTTCCATAACCTGCATTTTTCCCTTATAAACACGTACCACAGACAGGCTCTCCATTCCACATCAGCCCTTCAGCCTTCATACAGCTAAAGAGAGAAGTGAGGTGTACTTCTGCTTCTAAAGCTTAGCACTTGTTCTTCATTGCACAGAAGTCAGCAGCTTGCAGTTAGAAGTAGTAGTCATCCACAGGGGCAGCATTAAACACAGGGCAGTACTGGGAAGACAGAGGTGATGCTGCTCAAGTGTACCTTGGCATCTACACCTGACACAGGACAACACAGCCATGGGACAGGCGGTTGCTCCCCCCTGGTGAGCTCAGCCTGAGAAACAGCCCAGCCCCTCTGGTACCTGCTGCGTCTTCCCCTTCATCCACCTGGAGCTGCCCAATGGAGAAGCAATGGATCTGCTGTCCCAGAGCAAGCAGCCCTCCCCCTGCCATTACCAACATTTGTGATGCATTACTGTCACCACTAAAGGTACTGCTTTCAGGACATGGAAGCACATTTAAACAGAAAATGAAAGTATCTGGACATTACCAGCTACACAGCTTATACGCTCAAATTAAACCAAACCAAACAGCCACCAGGGAGTGTTTATTGTTCAGTGCAGCTACCACCTTTGACCACAGTCTGCTATGTTCAGGTGTGACACACACAGCCCACAGCACACCTCATACATACCCTCATTGCACGGCTGCAGGGCTGAAGCCCTTTATCACATACAGACTCACCACTGAGGCAGCAGTGGGGAGAGAGAGTAAATACCTTGGGGGAGGTTATAAAATAGGCATACAAAAGCAAAGTGGTTACTTCTGGCTTTTGTTCAACTACTTTGATGTTGACAATTCCATTTAAAAATCAGCTTGATTGTAGAAAAAAATTGTCACATTACTGAAGGCAGCTCGCAGTGGCATCCTTTATCACAAAAAGTGTAAACGTGTGGTGCAGTACTTTAAAATGCACTCTTGAAACATGCAGCTCGAGGAGAAAACAGTTCATAGACAGTTCCTGCTACAAACGCTTCCCGGCACAGGCAGGGTAACAGGGAGTTGACGGAGGAGGAAGAAGGCAGGAAAACCCCATGGCATTTGGGGTCAGATAGGGCAGTGCTTCACTTGCACTGGGATGGCCCAGGCTGGCCAGGGCCTGTGCTGGTGCATCAGGTGGGAATGCGGCTCCGCAGGTACTCCAGCACGGCGGCCGTTCCTTTGGCCAGGATGGCTGCCCGTGGCGTGCGGAAAGGATTGCCCTCCAGCAGGAGTGTCCTGGAACGACAGAGGGAAACCCAGCTACTGCTTGTACCAACACGGTCACACACTCCACACGGATCTGAAATTCTTCATTCCTCTTCTGTAAGAAGAATTTTAATTCCTGCTTCCCTTGTTCATACTAATCATCTCAAACTCCCCTCAGGCAGGTTAAACCCATTCCCCTTGTCCTGTCCCTACAGGCCCTTTGTCCAAAGTCCCTCTCCAGCTTTCTTGTTGGTTCCTTTAAGCACTGGGAACTGCTATAAGGTCTCCCTTGAGACGTACCTGAAGTCTCTCTGGACGGTGTCCTTACGGGGGAAACCCCAAGGACCAGGAATGTGTTGTTTTTGACAAGACAGACTGCTTACACCGGTCATCTTTGAGGTGTATTATGCAGGGACATCCAGAGTCATGACTCTTCATATGTTATTCAGAGGCTATCATCCTGCCTCTTACACCAAGTTATACACACAGCTAAATGTACAGGCTGACAGTGCAGCAGCTCCCTGCCTGGCTGGTCTATAGGTGCACCGCTAGTGTGTTTGTACATAACCAGCTCAGGCTCTAACATGAAATTTCCACAGACCAACACACTCTTTCCATTGTCATAAAAATCATGACCCCCCCAGTTGAATAAACATGGAAGCAACTACACTGGTTTACAAGTGATAAGAGAGACCCTTTTTGTGCACTGAGACCTACACAATAATACACTGCCAATCAGTGCTTTTTCCTCTGACAACACACACCCTGAACAAATGGGTCAGAACCTGTTTCCTAAACCACGTCATCACCTACAGAACACACCTCAGCGTTTCACAGTTCCCAAGCTCTGGTGGCACCTGAAGGAGGTCATTATTCTGAAGGTCCAGTGTTCCCAGCTTGTCCATCTTCTGTAGCTGCAGAGGGTCTATGGCCCCAACCTGATTGTTAGCCAGCAGGATCGTCTCCAGTGCTGGGATGCGATAAAGGACACTGGGAAATACTTTAAGTCTTCAAGAAGCAGAAGAAGGCAAAACAATGAAAGTCAGAAGTAGGGCATTAAAAATATTAGCAGCCTTTAAAATCAGACAGCATTGAAGCTTTAGCTGTTTGAGGAAATGGTTAAGGTTGCTCTGAAAGGAGACAGCATTCATTATCTTAGCTGGCACACAGAGAAAGAGGTCACCGAAATGTGCGCAGTGGCAGCTCAGCACCTCTAACGGTGTCACAGGCCAACCGTGGTCACTGAGTAAGGCTGGTGTGTCCCACAGAACATGACCCAGGGGTGTACCACCACCAGGAGAACAGTCGGATCCCTCCATCCTGCTGGGGCAGGGGCAGAGGGCTCCAGCCTAGCCCTGCCTGGGCAGCAGCAGTGAGAGCAGATGCTCTCCAGGGCATCACTCATCTGCTTCCTGCAGCCCATTCCCCTCCTGTTCCTCCATCCCAGGGTCCTGCTGTACTCTGGCTGCCAGAGAGCAGTCCACTTGAGGTCTGTGTGGGATGCACTGATCAGAAGATTCTTTACTTCCCTTTTTAGCCAGGTCCAAAACTTATGTGGCAGAAAGTTCCAAAACTACACTATCCATTGTGTAGAGAAACAGAGTCACTGCATCAGTTTTAACCCCACAGCCAACTGATCAAGTGCCCCCTCACATAACAGGAAAATCATATTCAATTCAGCCCGCTTATTTTGGTTATTATATTAAAAAACATATAAACAGTTCTCACCTATTGAAAGAAAGATTTATTATTTGCAGTCTTGTCAGTGCCTCCATCGCCTCAGGTAGAGATGTCAAGAAATTATTTCTGTGTATCAAATGAGGACAAACAATAATCACTAACTTCTACAAAGTTTTAGTTAAGAATCCACCAAGACAGAATGTATGTATTCATCAGTGCCACCATAGGGTCTTACACCAATTAATTGCTTCATAAATGGGTTAAGACCATGCCTGGCTAACGCAAGCCAGGTTTGCATTTCCATTCCTGTCATAGGAGATGCAAAGTCTATCCTCTAAATATTCCCAAGTATTGCAAAGCATCTAACAAACAGCTCCACAAACCTGCCTGGAAAGTCAGCTCTGGGGGTTCAGAGGACAGTTGATGAAACTGTGCAGGTCCTGGTACCAAAGTGAAGCAGCAGGATAACTAAAACACTTAAAAATGCTGTAGCAATTTCTGGCTATGGTTACCATGGTGTTTTCCACAGCAGGAAGCCATTTGGAAGCTTCTTAAATACAAGGGGGTTGTTAGGATAAAGGTCTGTCCTGAGTTTGACATAAAGAGCCATTCCAGGACAATAAAGACCACTCACTAAAAGATGCCCAAACTTAGACCTAAATTCTGAGATTTAAGACTCTCCTTGTAGCAGATGCTCCAGTCCCTTTGTCTTGGTGGCCCCTCACTCTCTCCAGGCACAAGCAGGATACATTAAATCAGGCCAAAGCAAATGCCTGTCTCTGCAACTGTGCTTTGTGAAACACCAAAGGTAAACAAACACCAATGAGCTAGTCCTGGTGTCTGCACAAATGCAGTGAGCATTTCTCAGGAGTTAGAACGTAAAATGACAGTAACTCTCTCTTGCAAACAAAGTACCCACAGCCAGCATGACAAGCTTTGTACCGTCACCGTTCTACTTCCCAGCTGCCCTCCAGGATTTCCTGGTGTGGGTTTCTTTTGTGGGGTGGCGGGGGCTGTTTTTAAATAGCAGCTTCACATCTCTGAGAACCTTCTAATGACTGAAGCAAGACCTTTCATCACAGCAAGGCTCAGAGCTTGTCCACTTGGGTTGTGAGGTTTTCTTTAACCGATGCCTAAATCTAGGCCACTTGCTGCTTCTGATCTGCCAGGCACCCAATGCCGTGGAGGCAGTTTGGGATATGAAGAATTATTTCAGTACTGCTATAACAGATGGTGGTTTAAACAGGCATGAAAATGAGTTACCCAGAAAGGAAGTCCAACACACGTCACAAACCTGATATCCAAATGTGTCAATTTATGGAGCATGCAAAGCTCGGGGGAAATGGAGGAGATTTTATTGAAGGCCAGGCTGACATCACAAACTGAGTCTTTCAGCTCCACAATCCTGAAACCAAATATAAGTATGTCTTATTATGTAAGGTCAGGTTTGCATTCTATTGTCTAAGTTACAAAAAAAAAAAAAAAAAAACCCTGAGGTATTCTACAACTCCAGGACACTCTGTGCTTCCTGACATTTCAGAAGCAATTCTGAGCAAAGACAATGGAAACTTCACCTGTGAAGGCTGCCTGTCCTGGAGCCTTCACCTGATGTAAAGACAGAGCTCATCTGAAGCTATCAGAATGGTAAATTGTCTCTCAGTGATAAACAGAGCAAATTTTGTTACAAAAAACTACTCACTTCATTGCAGCTGAGAGGTACTGCAGAAGCCATGGCAGAGATGACCATCACTGCCATCTGCTGCCCTGGAAGTGTTTTAACCCATGCTCTTCAGCAGTCAAACAAACAAAAGGAGATTGTTCTTTCAGAAGCATAGAATGGTTTGGGTTAGAAGGGACCTTAGAAAACACCTAGGTCATTCTCTTCCACCCCTCTGCCATTACAAATCCGAGGAAACAGCATTTGCTGCTTCTTGTAAAAAGGTATTTTCAGATGCTTTGGTGTACAATATTTAACAGATCCAAAAGTTAGCTGCTGAATCCCTGTAACAACCTCTGCTTTAGCGCTAAACCCAAAAGATAATTAAATGAGAAAATACTCATCTCTCCCACCTGGATGCCACTGAATTCTCTGGCACCCAGCAGCTGCACACCCACACCCACCCCAGTGAACACAACAGCCTCCAGCACAGGGAAAAGTGTGGGATGCACAAGCACCACCTCACTAAATTGATTCTAGAAATTGAACTGAAAAAAGAGTTTTAACTATGAGAAAGAGATCGCATCTCTTCAAGTTCTATGTGCTAAAGGTTAAATGTGCAGCACGCTT